ACAGCTTGGCAGGCAGCTTCCACCGGATCAGTAGGGATAGTGTCTCTGTAGACAGGGGTGGGACTCCCACCAGGCTCTTTGGGTATATACACAGTAGGAGGATTGCCCCAGAAGGCCTGGAGCTTAGGTTCAAGGGCTGGGTCGGTAACCACAACCACTTTAGGGTCCCCTGGAAGATTTCTCAGCTTGATATCTCGCAGCAGCCCCTGAAGTGAGTCTGAGGCCACCGACCGCTCTTGAGCCTCATCCAGCACCAGCACACCCCAGCCTCCAATGCCCCGGGATGAGGCCACCTCCTGCAGAAGCAGCCTGTCCCAGCAGAACCTGTTGACATTGGTAGTAGGCAGAGGAATCAGGATGGACACTGATTGGTCCTAGAAGTCCAGGGGAACCTCTCCTCAAGGGACCTGGATTTTGATATTGAGAGTCAGAAAAAGATACTGTGACTGACTTTCTGAGCTTGGGGAGTTATAACTATGACACCTCAACTCCACTGAGGACATCTGGTTCATAAACAGGGAAGTTAGATTTTCAAGGTGAATGTGACGGGAACTCACATTCCTGGCTGGAACTCAGAGGCTTAATTTAATAGTTGTACTGTGCATGATTTAAAAGGGTGAACTGGGTTGGGGAAGGGTATGGACATTTCTACTTGGTGAAGGAAATTAGATTCAGGTCAGGCCTGCAAAGGACCCCACCTGAGCAGGGTGTCAGACTCTGCGCAGTTCTCCTGAGGGATGCTGTATCCAACCTCATGACCCAGAGTCAGGTCCATCTCATCAGCAACCTGCACAGCCAAGCTCAGGGCTGCCAGAGGGTAAGGCTGAGTGACAGTAACCTGGCCGTTCTGGAACCCTCTGGCTAATGCAAACTCTGCACACCACTGAGGGATCTGGGGTAGGGGTAGAAAAGGAAAATCGGTCAGAGATAGAGGGATTCAGTCAGAAGTGCTGGGGAGGGCCTACGGCCAGGGCTCCTGATTTGGGGAGTCCTTGGTTCTTTACCAGCATAGCCCATCTCCCTTTGCCCAACTCCCCTGTAGCCCCGCACAACCCATCCCTTACCTAGAAAAAGGCCAAATTCCTTAGCCCCTCCCCTTGTCCATTCCCAGAATCTCCCACCACCTGGGTGCTCTTGCCAGAGCCAGGCTCTCCAGACACTAGCACCACTCCAGTGGGGCTGCTCTCCAAATGCTCCAAGAAGGTGAAGCGAGCAGCCCAGATGGGCAAGGCTCGGCGCTGCTCAAGCAGCTCGTAGTAGCGGGAAGAAAAGGGAAGCCCATCAAAGGGGTTTACAGCCAATTCAGACTCCCCAGGACTTGGGCTAGACTCTTCTGCCAGCCTAGGAGGCTGAGAGGCCATGGTGGCTATCCGGCAGAACCTAAAGGAGGCAGGGCAGCTAGTAAGACCTCATATTTGGTGTCTGACACCATCTTCCCACCTCACCGGATTCCTAACTTCTACCCTCAGGTAATAAGGCCCCAGGGTCCATTCTTTCCAGCATTTCTTGTTTGCTGGGAGACAGTGCTAGGTGTTTCTAAGGAACCATAGATAGTTAACTTTTAACCTGTAGTAAAAATCTTGTAACACAGGGGTTCTTGGGGGCAGCAGGAATGAGACATAATAACCTGCTGGAAGTTCCCAAGAAGAAAATAAATAATATGAGGGGTGGGGGCAGGACAGCAGGGTCACAAGAATCTTGGATTCAAACCTGCTTGCAGCTGTGAGACGCCTCAGGACGGCAGCCGGTTCCAAACCTACCCAACCAACCCTGACCTGCTTGAAGTACAAAGGTAAGTTCCGGTTCCACCCTTAGGCTAGGCTCAAACTCCAATCCTAAAGTTTGCTTTTAGGGTGGGGCCATTTGCTCCACTTGATTTAACCTATCCAGGAACCTATGGAAAACAGGCTTCTACCAAGACACTGAGCATGTGTGAACTCGAGAGTCCTGTGTTTGTGAAAGACATTCTGGGACTTGTAGTTTTACAGCAGCAGCTTTACAAACCTGTGTATTCATACAGTGCTGAACATCCAAGCTGGGGTCCAGCTGCTGCCTATCTTCATTTTATTTACACTTTCTCAGGATCACTTATTTTTTGGCATGAGATGATTTCGAACAGTTCCATTCTAGCCACCCCTCACAAACCTACAAGGAGACTTACCCGTGTACCCTCTAACCAAGGGAAAAGGAACCTGCTCATGGGGCTTTTGAAACCCAGAGAGGCAACAGAGACCTTGAGTGAAAACCCTGAATTTAATGTGAGATTGGGGGAGCCCCATCCCTCCCTTTTTACCACCCACTCATCCGGCCTTTTGTGAGTTGGGTGAGGGCTGCCCCCAGTCTCCGTCCTGTGGCTCTGGGTGCCATCCTGTTCCTTTGAGCTCAGTCAGCCTCCTGGGCCTGTCTCTCTCTGAATCTCCTGTGGGACACAGGGAGAGACATTGTGTAGGCTTTGTCACATTAGCTCCATAATGCCCTTTGCAACTTGCCCCTTCTTACTCATTGTCCTCTATCCCCCTCACCTTCTTGCATATTCATATAGTGCCTGCTTGCGCTCCTGTAGGCTCTCCTGACGGGCCCAGGAAGACTTGGCAAATGTTAGGGCTGTGGGTTGAGGGGTCACCAGGCCAGAGCTGGGGAACTGAGGTGATCACAATGTCAGAGGGCTTGCGAAGTCATCATCATTAAACACGCATCGAATGCCTACTTTGCAAGAGAGGCACTGTGCTAGGGTCTCAGGATCAAAAAGAGAAACTAGGGATAGGGTATATGTAGACTGCCCCAACCTACCCTAAATCTTGGACTTGACCACTTCCTGGGTCTCACCTTTGGGGTGGAGGCTGTGGGCAGAGACTGAGTTCCCTCAGTGATGTCTTCAGGCATGAAAGCCACAGCCCCCTCAAGCAGATTAGTGATGGTCAAGTCTACACAGCCAGTTCTAGCTGGGAAGAAAGGAAGAGAGGAGAAGGGAGTCCATTCCCTGCTCATCTTCTTCCTTCACAACCCACTTTTCCTCCTTGTGTTTGTCACTGTGTGTGGCCACCCTTTCCCATACCCAGGTCTCTCTGGATGACACCCAGTGGCACATGGGGCAAAACTTCCTTGACTCTCTGAGCCAGAGTTGCCAGTTGTGCATCAGGAGAAGGGCCAGGAGAGGGAGGGAAAGAAGACTGGGCTGCAGGAAAAAAAAAAAAAAAAGGAAAAACAGAAAAAATCAGATACATGGTAAACAGAGAACTAGGAAGGAGGAGAGGCTGACTAGCTCAGAAATAGGAAATCACAATAGGCTGAAACAAAACAAAATGAACAAACAAAAACAAAATCAAAAAGCTTTGTGTATAGAGGAAACACACCTGACTGGGGGCGCAGTCTGGGGTGTCTTTGTCGCTTCATGTGTTCTGCTTTGTCTGCTGGTGTGAGGCGTGTCCCTGTTTGTCCCAATTCCTTGGCCAACAACTAGGAAATTTGCAAGGTTTTAAGTGTCAAGACCTTAAGACCTCCTACTCCTCTCCCCAAGGAGGTACTTCCACCCTGCCTGTGTACCCTACCACCTGTTGTACTCGAAGTGCAAACTCCTCATTCCCCTCCCCCAGCTGGCGATGAACAGGATGAAGCCACCTGCAAAAAACAATCCAGTGCCATATTAGGGAACTCAGCATAGAGACTGTCATCTCTTCCTTACTTTGGTACCTCTTTTCATGGGACAGTGATGGTGAGGGTGGGGAAATAGTAAATGTTATTGCCTCTGTGGTTGAACTTTGATAATAAAAAATCTACAAATGGACAGAGCAGAGGCCACTACGTCCTTGACCTTGAGGTAAGCCTCTTCCCCAGCCACCAAAAAGCGAGGACAGTTAATACCTTACTTGATACACCGTGAAAGGGACGAAAAGTGACCACAGCAGTTCTGAGACCCAGGAGGCATCTGACACCGTCTGAGGGGAGGGTATGAAGTGAGGCCTAAGCCAAGACCAGGGGTGGGAAAGTTCCCCTCCAAACCCCAGAGATTCCCTGTCTAGCACACACTCACCACAGAGACCAGGGGTCTCTGAACTTGCAAGGTAAGAGGCTGTACCACATCCTGGATAGAAAATGGCCAGGAACTAGAAGAGAAAAGAGAGACTAGGATGGGAGTCCAGTTAGCCCAGCCAGCAATACCCAACTTAGAACAGTAAATGGTCCAGCTGCACAAGCAGATAAACAAGGAAGAGATCCAGGGAAAGAACTAAAAATGACAAAAAAAGGGAATGAACTAGGACTGAATGGGACAGGCTGAAAGTTTTGAAAACTAAGTGCCCACGAGCTCAACCAGTTGGAGCCAGATATCTGTGCTCACTCACCTGAAGCGCAGGAGACCTTCCCGGCCATTGGTGGCCTCTTCCTCAGGAAACAGCAGTAGAGGGGTAGGGGGAAGTCTCGTAGAAGCACAGAATCTCTTGAGTGACTCCACCAACTCCCCCTGCCTATCCATTTCCATGAAGCCCCGAGACCAGCACACAAAGCTGGGGGGACTGTTGAGCAAAGGCTGGGAAACGGGAGGAGAGAAAGCAAGAAGAATGGAAGGAAATGAGAAAATAAATGAGATAAGGGGTAGTGGAGTGGGGTCAGGGGCAAGGCTCAGTATCTCCCAAGAGAAACCCCAAGCCGGGAGAGGTGAGCCTTGAGACTGGGCCCAGTGATCTACCCGGTGGCGATCGGGGCCTCGCTCCCGCCCCCACTCACGGTGCTACAGGTGGTGAGCAGGTTGACTATGTTGTGATCGAAAGGTGTCACGTGGTTGGAAATGAGGACCCTGACGCGGTGATCCCTAAGTCCGGAGTCCTCCTGCCGAGCCACCAGCCCCAGCACTGCACACATGGTCCGTACCACGAACCTGGGAATACAGGCTGTGGTGACTGTGCGACCTCCGGCCGGTCCCGGCCCAGAGACTCCCAGAGTGCCCGAGTCGGAACCTGCGAAGGACGCTGTCCGGCAGCGCGCAGCTGACCAGGAAGACGTGGATCCCCAGAAAGAGACGCAGGACGAGGAGGCAGAACCCGATGGGCGCGTAGAGCAGCAGCGCGAGGAGCAGGAAGCCGTCACCTGGGAGCCTGGGGGCGAAAGGCGAGGTGATCAAGTGCCGAAGGCCGAGAGGACGCGGGAGCCGGCCTCTTCTCTTTGGAGCTCTTACCGGTGCGAGTCAAAGAGCCGCTCCGGCCCCGGGGCCGGGGGAGGCTCCATCGCAGCTGCTTCAAGGAAGCCCTGCCGCTGCCGCTGCCGCCATCTTCGCGCCGGGCCGCAGGGGCTCCTGGGAAGGCGGAGTCTTGGGGCATCAGCCCGGGTGCCGGGACTGGAAGTCCGAGGCGCCCCGGAAGGGCTAGCGGTCCCAGCATGCCCCGCGGCCTCTTGGGCAGCCTAAGAACTGGCGTCCCACCGGGACCACAATTCCCGGCATTCGTGGAGCGGGGCGGAGTCCGCCTCCGGGAATCCTGGGTCCCGGCGTGCACTTCTGGAGGACTTCAGGTACCAGCGTGCCCCGCTTCCCGCTGTCCGCCTGCTAGCGTCCGGGGCACCGCCTTTGAGTAGGGCGGGCGAGGAGGCAACCGAGGCGGAGCTGATGGCTGCGCTGAGGGCGGGGCGGGGTGCAGGCTGGAGCCTCCGCGGATTGCGGGCTTTGGGGGGTATTCTCTGGGGTAAGGGACCCTTGTTGACCCCTGACCTCCGGGCCCTGCTGACGTCAGGCACTCCTGACCTCCAGGCCCGGGTGACTTATGGGACCCCCGGTCTCCGGGCCCGGTTATCTGTGGGGGTCCCTGAGTCGCGGGCGTGTCTGACGTCTGGGACCCCGGACCCCCGGGCACGACTGACTGCTGAGACTCCAGATCCCCGGACCCAGGAGTCCTCGGGGACCCCTGGAACCCGCTTGCGCGTGTGGCTGGCGGTAGCGCTGGGCGCTGGGGGGGCTGTGCTGCTGCTGTTGTGGGGCGGGGGTCGGGGTCCCCCATCGGTCCTTGCTGCTGTCCCTGCTCCGCCACCCACCTCACCCCGGAGCCAGTACAATTTCATCGCAGACGTAGTGGAGAAGACGGCACCTGCCGTGGTCTATATCGAGATCCTGGACCGGTAATGGTGGGATAGAATTGGAGGCATCCTAGTCGCGGCCCGAGGGCGGGTGAACGGGAGGAATGGGAGCTTCCTCATCTCCGTGGTTCCCTTTCCTATTTCAGGCACCCTTTCTCTGGCCGTGAAGTCCCTATCTCGAACGGCTCAGGATTTGTGGTAGCTGCTGACGGGCTTATCGTTACCAATGCCCATGTGGTGGCCGATCGGCGCCGAGTCCGTGTGAGGCTGCCTAGTGGCGACACATATGAGGCCATGGTCACAGCTGTGGATCCTGTGGCAGACATTGCCACACTGAGGATTCAGACCAAGGTGGGGTTGGAGTAAGTCACGTCTGGTTGGAGCTATTTGCTTACTCTCATCTCTAGATAACAGTCCCCCTGCCTCATTCTTCCTTAGGAGCCTCTCCCCACATTGCCCCTGGGACGGTCCGCTGATGTCCGACAAGGGGAGTTTGTTGTTGCCATGGGAAGTCCGTTTGCACTGCAGAACACGATCACATCTGGCATTGTTAGCTCTGCTCAACGTCCAGCAAGAGACCTGGGACTCCCCCAAACCAATGTGGAATACATTCAAACTGATGCAGCTATTGATGTACGTCCTGATATGTGAGAAATGACAAATGGGATTGGTGGATGTGTAGTACAGGTGCCAACTTATGAGCCTATATTCAGAGGTTGGGCTGCAAAAAGGCAGCTACTCATTCATGGGCTGGGAGAGAAGACAATTTGGAGAAAATGCCTATAACTTGGTTATGTCCCCAGGCTTAGAATCCCTAGAACTCTTCCATATTTTCTTCTTGTCCTGCAGTTTGGAAACTCTGGAGGTCCCCTGGTTAACCTGGTGAGTGTGATCTTTCTTCTAAGAATTCCTGCCTCAGGACAGCGTAGAAATGGTGGTTTTCTTTTCTGACTTACAAATACAAGTTTCTGTGCAATCGCTGTTGCCTCTCTTCCAGTGTCCAATCATATCCCCTCAATAGTCTCTGCTACTCCTGTTCAGGTGTTCCCACCCTTACTATCTATTTGGGTTGTGTCCCTGCAGGATGGGGAGGTGATTGGAGTGAATACCATGAAGGTCACAGCTGGAATCTCCTTTGCTATCCCTTCTGATCGCCTTAGAGAGTTTTTGCATCGTGGGGAAAAGAAAAGTGAGCTTGGCTTAGAGGGAAAGGGATACCTTTACAATGGTGGATGGGATATAGGGCAGGGGCATTCCTTGGGACTTACTGAAGGGGAATTCTTTTTTTTTTTTAATATTCTTTTTTTTTAGTTGTTGATAGACCTTTATTTTATTTATTTATACGTGGTGCTGAGGATCAAACCCAGTGCCTCACACATGCCAGGCAAGTGCTCTACCTCTGAGCCACAGCCCCAGCCCACTGGAGGGGAATTCTATTGGAAGGAGAGGGAGGGGAAGGAAGGATGTAGCTGAGTGGGACTTATTTGTTTCCCTTTCATAGACTCCTGGTTTGGAATCAGTGGGTGCCAGCGCCGCTATATTGGAGTGATGATGCTGACTCTTACTCCCAGGTATGAGCATTAGGAATAGTGACATGTAGGGCCACTTGGTTGAAGCTGTTTGCTTACTCCCATCTCCAGATGACAGGTCTCTTTTACCCATTCTCCCTTTGAAACTTCTCCCCTCACTACAGTGATGAGCTACTGATCCCGTATTGAGCTTTGTTCTCACTTCTGTCTTCATTTAAGATGAGCTGCCTCTCACTGTTAAAAGAGTTGTTCCCTCTTATCAACTTGACTTTTTTATACTACCTGTTACTAGCTGTCTCCCTGTTACTGGATAGATTCCATCCTGTTACTGTTGTGATTTAGTTTTTAATCCATTAATCTGGCACTTAATGGCCATTTTCCACCTGTCTCTAACAGCTTTCTAGATTTGACTTCTGTTACTTCCTACAGGAATACTTTGTTCCAGCCAACCTGATTTCCCACTCCTTTGTCTTTATTTATGTTGTTCTTGTTTTATGTAAATATCAGACCCATCCTTAGGCTCAGCCTGTGTTCTATTGCCCCCTTAAAGCTTTTCTTAGGATTCTAGAATGACATTAGTGCTATTGATTTAATTCTGTGTGTCATTTGGAATCAGTTCTCTTTTATGTACATATTGTACTTCCTAATTGCTAGAAGGCAAAAAGGGAACTGCCTTGGTATCTGTAGTACCTAGTGTGTGTCCTAGCCATGCATTTGTCAGTGAGTCTTGAAGTGGGGAGAATGCTAGGTGTGACTGATAGGGTTATCTGTGTCCTTTCAGCATTCTTGCTGAACTACAGCTTCGAGAACCAAGCTTTCCTGATGTCCAACATGGTGTGCTCATCCATAAAGTCATCCTGGGTTCCCCTGCACACAGGTGAAGGAGAGACTGTTTTGTGAGGTGGGGTGGGAGAGGTGTGTATGTGTCCTTGAAGTGGGATATCTACTCCATTTTTCTCCATCTTTCTTCACAGGGCTGGTCTACGACCTGGTGATGTGATCTTGGCCATTGGGGAGCAGCTGGTACAAAATGCTGAAGATGTTTATGAAGCTGTTCGAACCCAATCCCAGCTGGCAGTGAGGATCCGGCGGGGGCCAGAAACACTGACGTTATATGTGACTCCTGAGGTCACAGAATGACTGGATTAGCAAGAGTGTGAGGCTCTTGCTCGGATTTCCTCTTGGACTTCCTAGCCTGTATTCTGAGGGCACCTGGGCAGAGGATTTAATGAACCAGTGGGGGGCAGGTCCCTCCAATCACCAGCACCAATTCCTGGGCTCTGAAGAATCGCAAGAACACTTTTTATATAAAATAAAATTATACCTAGCAACATGTTATAGTCAAAAATGGGAGGGGAGGGCTGGATCTTTCTGCCCACCTAAAGGCTAGAGGTAAAGCTGTAGGCCCCCTGAAATTAGGGGAGCTATGGGAGCTGACCATCCTGACCTCCCTATTCAAGAAAACAAGCTGCTGACATCTATTGTTCTGGGCAGTTAGTCAGGTGCTGCTCTTTGTGGTATGTTCTGCTCGGTGCTGGGCCTGGGAGCAGATATTCCCCATACTTGGCCACAAATACTGACAGCTGGCCTAGGAAGGGGGCAGTAATTTCTACTTGACAGTTCCACATTCATAGTGCACAGGTGGATGAGTGCAGCAGGCCTGTTGACATCAGGCCTTCTGTGGTAAGCTCCTGAGGTAATGGCAGCCTCAGACCCCTGCCATTGGGGGCCAGTGGTGGTTTGCAGAAGAGGGTGGTGGCCCAGCCTTTAGATGATCTGGTTGCTAGTCTGGCCAGGGTAGCGCTCGAACCTCCTGTTGGCCTCTTCACCGAAGGCATCACCTGCAGAATAGACAGGCAGTGTGGGGGATTGTCCTGCACGGGGGCAGGAAGACAGATCCATTGTGGGGAAAGGTTGGAAGAAGTGGAGAGACTGAGGTCCGGAAGTGTATGGGAGCTGGGCACAGTGGTGTAATGCCTATAATCCCAGTGGCTTGGGAGGCTGAGGCAGGAGAATTGCAAGTTCAATGCCAGCCTCAGCAACTTAGCGAGACCCTAACTCAGAAATATATATATATATATATATATATATATATATATATATTTTTTTTTTTTTTTTTTTTTTCTCGGCTTAGTGGTTAAGTGCCACTGGGTTCAATCTCTGTTACCAAAAAGCAAAAATGAAAATCAAAATGAAACAAATGCACAGGGGAGATGCAGAAACCACTTAGGGAAAAGCAAATGAAAGCCTTTCCTCCCTTCTCCCAATCCTCCTGGGATTGCTCTTCCCATCAAATACCAATGTGGCAGTTGTGCACCCAGATGCGATGTCCATCATATTTGCAGTTACATTTCATTGCATTGTTGGTGAAGTCACTCTCTGCTACTTCAAAATTTGGGTTGATGACCACCTGTGAGTTAAAAAGGCAACTTGACCCAGCTGCAATTCTCAAGTCCAAATGTGTATGAAATACCCATCCCACCTGCCATCTGGAAGCCCCATACTCCAGGCACCTGGAGAATGTAGTTTCCTGGCTTTACATCTGTGATGTCAATCCACTGACAGTCGATGTCATGCCTGTAGAGATCCCAGCAACCTACAGTGATGCCCTGCTCTCCAAAGTTGGCACACTCATACCTCTTGGAGACATCTGAAGGGATTGGCATATGTTAGTAAAAAAAAAAAAAAAATGCTGTGCTTTGGTGGTGGTGAAGTATATTCTGATTCCCAACTCACCCTCCTGACACTCAGTGTCTTCTAGACAGAAACTAGCTTTGTGGCCCTCAGCCACCTTGGTGCCGTTGGGGGTCAGGATATCATAATGAGTGAAGATGTCCATACTGTGGTAATGCCTGTGGGGACAAGGGAACTCCTGTTTCTTTCCCTGACTCCATCAGGCTTGCCTCCTCCCTGTGACCTTGCCCTTCTACTTGTCACCCTCTGCCCTCTCACCCATGGCATTCATGCCACACCCAGGAGTGGCGCCCAGCCTTGGGCCTGAAATCAGCTCGTCCCAGGTTGTGGATCTGGGAGGAGAATCTGAGCAAACGCCGATGGCCATAAGGCCAATTGGCTAAGCGGGCAGAGCTGGCCAGGCAGTTCTCTTCTGCAGCACAGTACAACATGTGCAGCGGCCGGTCCTCGATGTAGGCTGTCTCCTGCACCAGAGCTGAATGCAGCAGCAAATCTGAGGCAGCTGCATGGGAAAGGAAGAAGAGGGATAGGAGTCACTGCTGAGGGGCAGGGACAGTTGGGGGTGCTTCCATTCCCCTTAGTGTGAGACTGATTTTCCACGGGGAAGGAGTAACCCCTCCATATTATTATACCCTCTCTCCTTACAAGGGGTGGCCCAGAGTCTCCCTTCTTTCACTTGTGACACCCTAACCTTCACTCACTCTCAGAACAGATGACTCCAGCAGTGAAGCGGGTCCCTGTCCTCTTGCAGGTGATGTGGGTGCTGTGATGGGCACATTGGTCCAGGGACAGCTCAGTCCCTGTGCAACGTACTCCACTCATCACCACCTCCGTTATATTCCCCGAGTCCCAGTACCAGGTCTCCTGGGGACATATGTAGGTATTTCTGTGAGGCCTCAGGATCCAGCCTGTTGGCCAAGGGACTCATTTCCATAGTCCTTTGCCCGAAACAGGCTTTGAAGACAATAGCTTTAGCTTCCCTTCTCCTTCCTACTTACCTGCAGGCCATGATTGGCGTAGCCCAGACCAAGTTGCCTACAGGCCACCATGGCCTCCAGTGTCCCCCAGTCATCCCCACAGATGAGGCCCCAGCGAAGGTGCCCAGGTCCCCCTACTTGCACCTCAACTCGTCCCTCATGTCGGCTGCGGCCCCCACTGAGTCGGATCTGTAGTGACAGAATGGAAGCACCAGGGGAAGCTTTTGGGGTGGGGTGGTGGGGTCTGTAGTAAGGTTGTGGCTAGAGTGATTTAGCTAGCAGGTGATGGGGGCAGAAGGAGCTGCAGGGTGGTAGGGCAATGGAACAATGGACTAGGGGCTATAAGGCTGTAGAATAGAGGTCAGGACTAGAAAAAATGAGAGATGGGAGACCTGAACAAAGGTGGAAAGTATGACTGACCTTGGTCTCCACTCCAGTGTAGGGCAAATTGCATCGCACCCCAGCATCCTGGCTATGGGAACAGTCCTCAGCTGTGATGTTCTTAAAGGGACACTTCCAGAGAGACGACTCCTGGCCAGAACATCGAACTTCACTCAAGTGGATGGCACCCATGCCTAGGGTGAGAAATAAAAGCTCAGGAGTTTGTAATTAGACCTTCATTGCCCAGGGAACTCTACCTTCCCAAGGAATATGCCCCCTGGGAATGTGAACCTCCTCCTTCCTTCTCCCTCCCATCTCCCTGCCCCCTCACCCTGCCCCATGCGGGCACCACTCAGAGCCTCTCGTGCACTGCCAAAGCCCAGCTCCCGACACACCACGCTGGCTGCCTGCAGATCCCACTTGCGGTCACAGACTGTGCCCCATGTGCCAGACTTCAGGACTTCCACCCGGCCCTCTCCAGGGTGGGCTCCACCTTTTAGACGCACACGTGCCTGTAGAGGGGAGAGATGTGCCCAGCAGAGGTGAATGGAAACAGCCTGGACATGACTAAGTAGAATGTTTGGTGGGAGGGAGTGGGTGTTGTCAGGTCTGTGGCCCACCCCCTGGAAGGTTCCTCTCTGTTCTCAAAGGTCAGGGCTGTGCTTAATGGGAGGGGGTTGGCCAGACTAAAGGGTTTTCCACCTGGGCTGGGAAAGGTCAGTCACTGTCTCACACACCTCCCCCTGAGGCTTCGACTGTTGTTGCTTCTTCTGGCCACTGGACGCCGTGTAGAGAGGGCCTGGCACACAGCTCACCACCGCAGGGGCCCCCCCAGGACACCTGGTGGTTTCATTGGCACGATAGAACTCCAGAGGACAGAGGGAGAGGTGGGCTTCCGTGCCCACGCACGCCACCCCATGCAGACCAAAGGAGTGTTGCTGCCGCTGGGCCAGCAGCCTGGGGGGACAGGAGTGAGGTGCAGTAGGGTAAAACAATGCTCCTGCCTCTGTGCCCCACAAACCTCTGCCCACTCCATTGCTCCCCCATCCCCCCAACCTCTTATGAACACATATTCCCTCTTTTCCCCTTTTGTGTTTCTCTTGAGAGAGACACAGGAATTGCCAAGAGTGTAGCTGAAAGTGCCTTGACCACCCAGACAGGAGGGTCCTTGGGGAATTTCTGCAGCAAAAGAACCCTAGGGAAAGGATAACCAGTCTTGACTTGCTTGACAGAAACCTTGTGGTTTCATGAAGGAGCCAGGAGCTTAGGCTGCTGTACAAATCAAGTGGGAAGCCAGAACTATACAGTCAGAAGCAATAATCAGTGGGTAGTGGCCAACACCAACTAGATCCTGAATATCCAGAATGAGTAGAACCTGTCTATCATGCTGAGACTGAAGTAACTGAGCAAGTCAGGATACAAAGGATGAGGAAGTCTTGGATCTAAATGGCTTTCCAGAGGCCAGAGGGGCTTCCAGGTCAAAAACTCTGTAAGGTAGAATATGGTGAGCAGTTACAGGAAGAACAGACCAGATGGTGGCCATAGGAAGGACTGGTGGCATACTATAGTGACATGGCCATATCTACATTCATAGAAGCTCAATTCACAATAGCTAAGCTATGGAACCAACCTAGGTGCCCTTCAATCGGTAAATGGATAAAGAAAATGTGGTATATATATACACAAAGGAGTATTACTCAGCTATAAAGAATGAAATTATGACATCTTCCAGTAAATGGATAGAACTGGAGACTACCAGTTCTAAGTGAAATAAGCTAATGCCCCCAAAACCAAAGGCCAAATGTTCTCTCTGATATGTGGATGCTGGCTCACAAATGGGGGTGGTGGGTGGAGGGAGGAGTGGAGGTTCACCGGATTGGACAGGAGAATGGGGGGATGGGAGGGAGGATGGGAATGGGAAAGACAATAGGATGAATCAGACATAACTTTTCTATATTCATATATGAATACACGACCAGTGTAACTCCACATCATGTTTAACCACAAGAATGGAAAGTTATAATCCATGGATGTATGATATGTCAAAATACATTCTACTGACATGTATAACAAAAAAGAACAAATACAAAAAGGAAGGACTGGTGATGGCATAAGCAGGAATGAAGACATATGAATGCAGGACAGACAAAGCTGGAGGGATTGCATGGTCAGAGAAGGAATGTAGATGGGAATAACAGTGACAAAGGTAGCCTAGGATCTGAGCTGAGCTGTAGAAGTCTTTAATGAGATGTCCATGCTTCTACAATTTCAACCCAACGAT